TATGTATGCTCAAGTCTGCACAAGACCTGACATTGCTTTTGTTATTGGAGTGTTGGAGAGATATCAAAGTAACGCAGGTTTAGACCACTGGAAAGCTGCAAAGAAAGTGATGAGATACATTCGAGAGACTAAGGACTACATGCTTATGTACAAGAAGATTAACAACTTAGGTTCTTGGCTACTCAGATTCAAACTACATTGGTTGCATTGATTCAACAAAATCAACTTTAGAATATATTTTTATGCTAGCCAGTGAAGCTGTGTCATGGAGAAGTGTCAAGCAGACCTTGATTGTTATTTCCACTATAGAGGTTGAGTTCATTTCTTGTTTTGAGGCTACCTCACATGGTGTATGGATTAGGGTTTCATTTCTAGGCTTAGAGCTATGAATTCTATTTCTAGGCCATTGAGAATATATTATGATAATTCAGCTGCTGTTTTTATGGCTAAGAATAATAAAAGTGGTAGTCGAAGAAAATATATCGACATTAAGTATCTAGCTATAAGAGAACGTGTTAAAGATAAGACAATGGTTATTGAGCATATTAGCTATAATAGCCCTGACCTAATTAATTAGTAAATTACATGTAATTAAATAATTAAGCATGTATTAGTGAGTAAAATTAAGTATAAGGCCTAATTAAGTGAATTGGGGTCACTTTTGAGGTAAAAAGTGTACTCAGTGAAAATTAAGGGGTATAAATGGGTGTAGGCAAAAGTATCCAAAATATAAAAATGGAAGTGAAAATACTCCTAGAAAAATATTCCAGACCTTTGGGTAAAGTTTGGTGGTGAATGGAGTTGAATAGATAGATTAGCTAATACCCGCTTAAGGTAACATAAGTTAAGTGACCAAAAACACAATCCCATTTCATTTTTCTCCTTTCATCCGTCGAGCCACCAAGAGAGAATAGAGAGGGAGAGACTCTTTTGATTGGAAAACCCTAGATTCCATATTTCCTCACCAAATCCATCTATTCCAAAGCCTAAACCACTTCGAATCTTCCTCTCATCCTTGATCCAAGCTTGGTTGGTAGTGGGGAGCTTTGTGGTGTGAGATTTTCCTCTCAAAAATTCGCCCCCTTTGAAGGTTGAAGGGGTTTGGGAACCTTTCACTTCTTGGAAGCTTGAGGAACCATCACTCCTTGATTATGCAACCATTGGTAGTAAGATTTTACTCCTTGAACTCTATTTTCATGGAGATTGTATGTTAAGGAAGATGATGAATAATGTTTTTAGGGTTTTATGATAATGTGAGTGGATTGGCTAGGTTTTAGGAGGATTGAGACTTAGTGTATGTTGTGAAAAATGCTAGGAATGACATTTAATCGGTGAAAATGAGCTTAGATAGTCAATTGATTATGCTTTGAAAATTGCAAGATTATATACTTGATTTTGGACTTTCTTGCATTAGTAATCAATGGTTTGGTTTGGTTGGATATTGATTGTGTCCATGTTATGTCTAGGATTGAGGCAATTGGACCAATCTTGAGTGACCAACCATTGGAGGAAGCTATGGAGCTTGATTAGCTCATTGGAATAGGTAAGCTCATGCTAATTGATAGTGTAGAGTTGTTGTGGTGTTGATGGATATACAAATATTCATTTGCTTGCATGATTGATTTCTGTGACACCTTGGTGTAGGTGTGTATTTTACAAGTTATAGTTGAAATCGAAGTTGACTGGTTGTAGAACTTATTGGTGAAGAACAAAGGTTGAACTGAAGCTTTGAGGTAAGCCTTCGGACCTTGGGTGTAATTCCCTTGATTGTTCCACCAAGCCCTGAATGGGTAATGGTTGTGATAGTGTATATAAATGCAATGAAATAGTTTAATGTTTTGTTATACGTATGTGTATGCATTTGGTGTGGCATAAGATGGTGTTTCCCTATGTTGGTATGTTGCATAACGATGCGTAAATCATACTTGGTAGTTTAGCTGGCCAGTAGTACTATTTGCATCTGAGTATCCTTAGGACATCTTGAGAGCTCGAGGGATTTCTCCTGGAGATGTTTGTGACACACTGCATGGATATGTATTTATTGCATTATTATTGTTATTGATATTACACTGCTATTGAACTATGGGGTGGAGAGATGCTCCAAGGACCCCTGGTTTACTGTGATATATTCATATATCTCACCCCGTGTTGTGGAGACCCCCTTTCAGGTAAGGATGCTGCAGGAGCCTCTGGTGGCAAGTGGCCATATTTGGATTAATAGATGCATGAAGATGTTGCATTCTTTTGGATTATACATGACATGTAGTAGTACCATGTATAGGATTTACATTTGAAAGCTAATCGCTATATGTATGACATGTTTTATTTGGAGGGACTTAGCCTATGCTCATCTCCTTTGGTATCTCTTTTGTTGATGGGAGCTAAGGAGTTGATCATAGTGTTTTGTAGCTAAGTCTCATGATTTGTAATTAAGACATGTTGTAATGATGTAATGTTGTAATTATTGGATATATACCTATATGATGAAAGGGTATGCATGTTTCTCTTAGTGTATGAGTACCTAGAAAGAACTAGGAATCACTTATAGAAAGGATTGCATGATATCAATTAGGTGAAAGAAGACTCGTAGTTGGAAAATCCAAATAAAAGCAAAGATATCCTGTTTTGTTGCCCATTCTCATATCCTATATGATTGATTTGGACCATTGTGTCTTAATGGGAGTTGTAGATCTTCTTCTTAGCTTTCCAATGAGACCAAGATTGTGCAAATAGGAGTAGTATAACTAAAGTTATGGATGAAATGTCAAAGGAGGCCAAATTGCCCTGTGGAGGGGGCTTAAACCTGAAAATGGAGGCTTAAACTCGCTCAGGGGGCTTAAGCACCCTGATGCACCTGTGAAGGCCAAAAACTCTCTGCCGGTGGGCACTTTAGCGCCCTGGATCGCGCTTAAGCGCCATCGGTGGCCTAAAAATCCCATTTTCCTCTGCCTTTGGGCGCTTAAGCTCACTGGAGCGCGCTTAAGCGCCCTGCCATGCGAAAAATTGGGTCGTGAAGGGCGCTTAAGCGCTCTCAGCACGCAGCCCGTTTTCAGCATACACACGATTTAGTGAAATTGGCATAACTTGAGCTACGGAGCTCCAAATTGGGTGCGGTTTGAACCCACGCGTAGCTAACAAAGAGATCTATAACCTAGTGTGAGATGAGAACTATATAGTAAGTAAAGGAATTCCACTTTAAGAAAAGGTGAAGAGAGTTTTGTAGTGAACTCGAACCAAATGATAATATGATGTTAAGCTTAATTTATTTTGTTCCGCAACGTAATATGGTTATGATCACACAGTTGGGCATTTTAAATTCGGCTTTGTTCAAAAAGAAAAATTTATCCGAGTTTCTAATTGAACCAACGAGATTGTAACTGCGCTTAATATCATAATGCGATGTTAACAAACCGGTTCTAGAACGGGGTGTTACATTAGCACTAAATTAATGATTGTTGATCCTCTCACTAAGGGCATGCCACTAATTAAATTTATGGATCATGTAGAAATGACAGGACTTGGTTCCCATGTGTAATTTTCATTGTAAGAATGATATTATGAAACTCTATTTGTGATGTTTTTCATTCAGTTTATGCACATCTACAATTATTTATTCTAAGAAACATCAATAAATTTTGGACCTAGAATAAACATTGAGTTTATTTATTAAGTTATATGGGCTTGAGAAATATAAAAAAGTGTAATACATGGAAGATAATACTCGCACATATTAGAGGACTTATCGTCATTATTCATGTAATTTATTTCTCTCTATAGTATATGACGGGATATGTGGACCAAGTGAGAGAATGTTATAGTGCTTTGAATAAGTCAAAGATGTGAGCCACTGATTTTTATTTACGGTGAGTGTCCAACTACTCTACTGATTTTCAGCATCCACTCTAACCACTTCCACAATTTTTCAATAATATCTCCACAACAATCAAAAAATCCCAACAGCCATATTTTGTGCACATCACTATTAATTGACACATTGATGGTAAAGGTTTATATATAGTGTGACTTCAGACTTTTGGAATCCCATAACCCACTCTTGGATTTATGTTACACATCATATGTGCCTGAGAGTTAGAGTTTGGAAGACTCACAAAATACTCAAAGACAACTTCAACCCATCTTCTGAGCAAGCAAAGAAAACAAACTTAATTTTTTCGCATTTGATCTAATACTTCTGTTGCATATAAGCATGATAAGATCATAAGGCTATATTAGAAGTTACAAACATATCAATAATATCATCGGTTGCCTATTCTTTCTTGTGAAGATCTCAATTAACGTAATCCCATAGCTGTATACATCTCCTTTGACAAACAATTCCAATAAATCCATACTCTGTATGTTAATACTAGATACTAGTTTATCAAATATTCTCAAACATAATACTAATGAAGGAGTTAGTAAGTATCCTCTTTTTCTTGTAACGCTCATATAAAGTAATTGAGTTAAAAAGAAAAACATAAAATTTTCTAATTAATATAGAAAAATCAATTTCATTTCATTGGATATGATACAAAATAATAAGTATTAATTGTTTCACATTTACTTTTCTTGTAAATAACACATTCAAGACTTTTTACGTACTGCATGAATAAATCAAACATTCTATGTGCAAACATTATATAAATTAAAGCAAATATTTATATTTTGATCTTAACTATACATGGATGATCACATATTTAAGATTTGGACTTCTTACCCTCATAATGACGCAGTGCTGTGTCTTTTTCTTTATTGTTCCGTATCTTAATGCTCATTAAGATATACCTCCCAATAGTTATCACAAACTAAAACACCTAACTTCTCTAAATATACCTTAACTGCTTAATTAACTAACCAAGTCCTCTCATTATATATATGAGTGTCAATTAGATAGCAGTGAAAAGGAATTCTGGAAGTTACAAAATTGATGCTGGGGATTTCCAAGAGTTAAGACTACAGTCCGCACATCAAATCTGCAATTTTTTAGTCTTTACTGCCCTCTAGGACCTAAGTATTTTAAGAAGTTCACCCTTCTTTAGTTTAGAGTAACCTTTCACTCCTCTTGACTTTGCTACTTCTTTCAACTCAGCAAGTTTCAGTTCTTCCAGTCTCTCTGATTGTACCTGCTTGTTCCCCATGATGGCTGGCAATGCTTCAGTACTTAGCTCAATAACCTTTCCTCTTGGGGTTGATAGAGATGGAATAGGTGATTTCCTTACGAAATTTGATGGTGGCCGAGTCAACTTAAAGTCTGATACATGTGGATGCTCCTCTACCCCTTGCTCTTTCCTAGACACACCTCTTCTATTTGTCAACACCTTTTCTTTTGCCTTGTTTGGAATTTTGCCATCTGTAATTAGAGAATCAGATGAGAAATAGAAATGCAAAAGAAAAACAATATCTGAAATTTCATAGTCTTAAAAGTATTTTAAGACTACAAGAATCACTTTTGGGTGAGTCAAATTATCATGTTCGAGCAATTTAAATATTTTTCATTGCCACTGTAAAGAACCTTGGGATATATCACCCTAAAAGCTAGCTCAAAGGGTGAGAGTGCCCAAGACCTTATAAACTCCACATTAGTTGCACATACAACCAATGTGGGACTATATATCTCAACACGCCCCCTCACACAAGAGCCCATTGGGCTCAAAGAGTGGACAATGCAACAAGCCCAGCCTACCTGTGCTAAGAAACGCCACAAGAGAAAGTGGGGGACGGCGAGGCTCTGATACCATGTAAAGAACCTTAGGTCACCACCCTAAAAGCTAGCTCAAAGGGTGGGAGTGCCCAAGGCCTTATAAACTCCACATTAGTTGCACATACATCCAATGTGAGACTATATATCTCAACAGCCACAATAAACAGTTAAACATCATTATGTCATTACCTTTCACCTGCTTTTTTGGTTCACCAAGAATATCTAGAATTGATTCAGTCGAGGGCTTATCCTTATCTGCATTGGAACTTGTCTTACTCATAGTGTCATGCGAGTCTCCCTTTGATATTGAAGACTGTATTCTTCTGAATAGAGCAATTATCTCTTCCTGGTCAGAAGACTTTGATTTTTTACCATCAAATGATTGAGGTCTCTTGTTTTCATTTCTCCTACTGGTTTGACCATCTTTGTCTCCATCAGATCTTATGCTTGAATTAGTAAATGGAAAGACAACCTTTGGGAACACAAAGATTGAAGGTTGAACTGCAACCTCTGCCAAATTCAACAAGCTGCATCTAAGTATTATCCTCTCTATCTAGTCACAATTCTACGGCCAGCATCAACCTAGTACAAAGAATCAGACCAAACTATGTATTGATTTAAAAAAAAGAATAAAATAAAATCAGATGAGATATTGCCAACTATGGTACAAGCATGTAAAGGAATCATAACACTTGGGCAGTAGAAAAGAATGTGTGATCCCAATGCACTTTTTACCACTTTGAAGATGAAAGCGACGACTAATATTTACTGCTTTTCAGAACTATGCAGTTAAACATCAAAATAGGTAACTTCAAACATGTCAGGTATGATAGGAAGTCAAGATGTTACCATTAAATTTTCTTCAAACGATATTAGTCAGGCTGTCAATGCCCTTCTTAACAAAACAAAACTAAGAGCAGAGTTTTTCCTTATGAATAATTCCTATTAATTATGGAAAATTTACAAACCACCCACAAGCTGGTCTCTGGTTTGAGCATTGAAGCCACCCTTGATGTGTTAATGTATGTACAAAACTGAATATAGTAGTTTCATAGAGGAAAACTCCAGTGTGTGGCCAGAAAGCTATTACTGCATCTGGTCATTCTGTGGACTTCCAAAACAGTAGGGCTTTCAATGCATGGAGAACATCTTGATTCTTGAATGTGGCCATGATAAGTCATGGAACTAGTTAAAGATTGGGAAATATAGATTTTCATCCAATTATCTAACCATGATTCTCCATTGCATCTAAGGAATTGGTGCTAATTCTGAGTTATATCAGGGTTTGTTTAGAGGAGGCTGATATTGCAACATTTGAATTAAATGAACAATCAGGCTGTCTTCAGCCAAATAATAGACAAATTTGATCATGAGCGCCAGAAGATTATATGTTTTGTTTTTTGCATGCAAATATGACATGGGGAATGAAATGAGAACAACAAAAAACAGCAACCAAAAATTCAGATGAAAATTCACTTGTTTCTGCTAATACCACAAATCACTACAAATATTAAATACCCAAATTAACAATTATTTCCAAACCGTCTAAGTTCAAGTTTCAATTGAATTTTAGAAAACTTCAATATCTTTGAGAATTTCAAGAAAAAGAAGAACAAGGAAATAAGAAAGGAAGTTTAAGTACCTGTCATAGATATTGAAGATTTTCCTAAACAACACTGCTTGCTGAAAGAGAAACACATGGAAAAACGAAGAAGATTATGATGATGGAAAGCAACTGCATCCATCTTTCAAGAAAAATTCCAGATTCTCAAAGACACAAACAAATTAGAATCACACACCTCCTCTCCATTTCTTATATATTTGGTATTTTGCTATTATCTCATTTCAAAGGTAAATTAGCCAGTCCACAATATTCTGTGACGCGTTTCATCACGCGCTGACTCTGCGGCTACAAAAACACAAGATGTTCCCTCACTCTTTGCTCGCACTAGCAGAGACACACGAAACAACAATGTTGTTGACAATGACGAAAAGCATAACAAACTTCAGCACCTATCCAACTTGTAAAAGCCATGAAAACAATGCAAACTATGCCAAACCATGGAATTGTTTCATTTTCTTCGGACAATCTTCATGGGCATGTTTGTTATCTTCGAATTCGAATGTTCCTCGTAGCACTAGTGTCGGTGCCTCTGCCTTGCTGGATAAAAACGCGAAAACTTCCAAATTCTGCGAGGTGGGTGATCTCGGAAATGCCATAGAATTGCTCAGAAGGTCACAAAAATCCGAGCTTGACTTGAACACTTACTGTTCTATCTTGCAGCTCTGTGCTGAGAACAAGTCTTTGAAAGAGGGTAAGATGGTTCATTCAATTATATCTTCCAGTGGCATGGCGATTGAAGGGGTTTTAGGTGCCAAACTAGTGTTCATGTATGTGAATTGTGGAGCTTTAAGTGAAGGGAGACGGATATTTGATCAGATTCTCAATGATAAGGTTTTTCTGTGGAATCTTATGATGTCTGAATACGCCAAGATTGGTGATTATCGTGAAAGTATATATCTTTTTAAGAAAATGCAGAAAATGGGAGTTACAGGGAATTCTTATACATTTTCATGCATCTTGAAGTGTTTTGCTGCCTTGGGAAGGGTGGTAGAGTGTAAAAGGATTCATGGGTATATTTATAAACTGGGTTTTGGTTCTTATAATAATGTTGTTAACTCTCTAATTGCAGCTTATTTCAAATGTGGAGGAGTTGACAGTGCACACAAGTTGTTTGATGAATTGGGTGATCGAGATGTTGTGTCATGGAATTCTATGATAAGTGGGTGTGTGATAAATGGTCTTTCCCATTGTGGAGTTGAGTTTTTCATTCAGATGCTTATTTTGAGAGTTGGTGTGGATTTGGCTACCTTGGTTAATGCTCTTGTGGCTTGTTCAAATATTGGCAGTCTTTCATTGGGTAGAGCACTTCATGGTTATGGAGTGAAAGCTTGTTGTAGTAGGGAAGTTATGTTTAACAATACCTTACTAGACATGTATTCAAAATGTGGTAATTTGAGTGGCGCAATTCAAGTTTTCGAGAAGATGGGTCAAACGACTGTTGTTTCTTGGACTTCAATCCTTGCTGCATATGTACGTGAAGGTCTATATGAGGATGCAATCAGGTTATTCTATGAAATGGAAAGCAAAGGTGTTGTCCCAGATGTTTATTCCGTGACTAGCGTCCTTCATGCTTGTGCTTGTAGCAACGCACTGGATAAAGGCAGAGATGTACACAATTACTTTAGAAAGAACAAGATGGCCTTGAGCTTGCCTGTGTCTAATGCTCTCATGGATATGTATGCAAAATGTGGAAGCATGGAAGAAGCTCAATTAGTTTTCTCTGTAATTCCAGTTAAGGATGTTGTCTCATGGAATACCATGATTGGAGGTTATTCAAAAAACTCTCTCCCCAGTGAAGCTCTTAAACTTTTTGGTATGATGCAAAAAGAATCAAGACCTGATGGCATTACAATGGCTTGCGTGCTTCCAGCTTGTGGAAGCCTAGCTTCTCTAGAGATAGGCAGAGAGATACATGGGCACATATTGAGAAATGGGAACTCTTCAGATTTGCATATAGCCAATGCACTTCTTGATATGTATGTAAAGTGCGGGTCACTAGTTCATGCACAGGTACTCTTTGATAAGATTCCTGAGAAGGATCTTATCTCTTGGACAGTTATGATCGCTGGATATGGCATGCATGGTTTTGGAAATGAAGCAATTGCCACTTTTCAGAAGATGAGGTTTGCAGGTATCGAGCCTGATGAGATCACCTTCACTTCGATACTTTATGCTTGCAGTCATTCTGGATTACTGAATGAGGGTTGGGAATTCTTCAATTCCATGACAAGTGAATGCAACATCGAGCCCAAGTTAGAACACTATGCCTGCATAGTAGATCTCCTTGCACGTACGGGAAATCTATCCAAGGCCTATATGTTCATTGAGACAATGCCAATTAAACCAGATGCTACAATATGGGGTGCCTTGCTTTGTGGGTGCAGGATCCATCATAATGTGGAGCTAGCAGAAAAAGTGGCAGAGAATGTTTTTGAGCTAGAGCCAGAGAACACAGGATATTATGTTCTTCTGGCGAACATCTATGCAGAGGCAGAAAAATGGGAAGAAGTGAAAAAGTTAAGAGAGAGGATTGGTAAGCGGGGACTAAAAAAGAGCCCAGGGTGTAGTTGGATAGAGGTCCAAGGAAAATTTAATATCTTTGTTTCTGCGGATACTGCACACCCTCAAGCCAAAAGGATAGACTCATTGCTGAAAGAATTGAGAATGAAAATGAAGAATGAAGGTTACTCTCCTAAGATGAGGTATGCCTTGATTAATGCAGATGATATGGAGAAGGAAGTGGCTCTATGTGGGCACAGTGAGAAGCTGGCCATGGCTTTTGGTATATTAAATTTGCCGCCTGGGAGGACTCTTAGGGTTACCAAGAATCTACGAGTTTGTGGTGATTGCCATGAGATGATGAAGTTCGTGTCCAAGACGACAAGGAGGGAAATTGTCTTGAGAGATTCAAATCGGTTTCACCATTTCAAGGATGGTTTCTGTTCTTGCAGAGATTTCTGGTAAATCATTGGAGAAATTCAATTCAGGAAAAGATATCAATATCAAGTTAACCTCTTCATGACTCATGAGAATTTGATGAATAAATCTTATGCCAATCACAGTTATTTGACTGTGGTACAACGCGTTTATGTGGAGTCAAAGCCAAAACATAAGATGGATCAAGGATAGTCTGAGAGTCATACTTGTGCTGAATCAGAGGTTTAGACTTCAGGTTTAACAGACAAGTCAGAGGCAATTTACACGTTGGATCCCCGTCTGACAAGAATAGATTTTGTCAATTATGGATAACCCATCTACATTTGTTTATTTGGATTTGGAAATAGAGCACTGCAGGGATCTCTGATTGGAGTTTAGAAGCGGCATATTTTTATGGAAAATAGATTAGTGTTGAGATTCCAACCTTCATTTTTATACTGACATAATCATTCACATGGTAACTTCACCATCAAGGATAATCAGTACATTACCGTGTCAAACAATTTTACATGTCTCAAGCCTGGCCCTCTAAATATAGCATGTTCTATATCTTCTTCCTTGCCCTCAAAAGTTCTTGGACTACACAGATGTGGTCCATTAGGCTGGGCCGCAAAAATTCACTTTAATTGTTTTTTTTTTTTTCAGTATGCAATAATTTGCTTATACTACTTCGAATGGAGCTAACAAATGCATGTGGGGTGCCCGGAGTTGTAGGAAAATTGCACAGTGCAAACAAAGCTGCCTGCAGACTGTACATGCAACCGAACCTCCGTTTCCCTTCTAAAATCTGTACAATTGCATCTTTCATTAAAGAAAGCTTCATTTACAGCTTCAGAAATTTCAACTGAAGTGTTCATTAAGAAGAACTTTGATTTGTGTCTTTTTCATCACAACTGCAAGGAAATTACCCAGTGTAAATTCTCTTTTCTCATAGCCCTTTGTGTTCCCCTGCAGATGGATGACACTTGGTCCTTAATTAGCATTGTGCTTTATATCTTAATCACTATAGGGATAACTTGTGTATAAGCCAAATGTTCATTAAAAGGAAAATAAACTTTTTGTAATGATACCTTCTGCCTAGTTGACAAGTATTGATTTTTGCATTAATATTGAATACATTTCAATTCAGAATCTAATTACTAATTCTGCAAAAATACTAATTGAAACCTTTAAATAAATAGAAATAAAAAAATGCTGCTTCCGCAATTACTTGAGAACAAACTCTGCATAATTAATAGAGTTTAACTTTTCTGCAGTTAAGGCAGAAAAATTATCACACTATGTACTACATGTAATACATAATGTAACTTTTGAAATGAACTCTATTTTTATTTAGATTTCAAAAGTTACATTACATACTATGTGACTATCCGTAGTACATAATATACTGCAGATAATTTTTCCACCTTCACTACATAAATGCTTTTCCCTAATTAATAATGGGCAAATATCAGCTTCTTCCTTTGTTAACGCCATAGTCATAGTACTGAGAAACACTATGCAAGCAGCATTTACGAAATCATTACTTGCAAATTAGAGGCTTCTAAATTGTCATCAGGCACCCATGATAATTTGATTATGAATATAGTTGTATATAACTGAAAAATAAACTAATGAAACTGAGATCTAAGATACATGTGTCTTTGGGACCCACCTAAGATTCAATTAAATAGAGGTGTGAACACGCCAACTTTGTAAAAAGGATGGGGCAGTCCTGTCCTCAAGCAAGGAAATGTTTTTCTCCTCTACGTAATGCTTAGCATAGTAAGTTAGGAGAGAGTTGATAATGCAGTTGATGTTGACAACCACCTTCATCACACAAGTAACAATTATATATATATATATATATATATATATATATATATATATATATAAAGGAGCTGCAGAATCGCCTATAGCTTGAATGAAACAAGTATGTTATTGAAGCAAGCTCCAAAAACTAATTAAATTTACAACTATGTCCAGGTTATCAATGACGCAAGTTTTCACTTCTAAACTCGTGAAGCTACTTATATACTTAATTTTGCTGAAGATTGTAATCTCAAAACAATATGAACAAAAATAATCGGTTATGAATGACACTAACACACAGAAAAAGGTATTGTAGGAGTTTGGTGAAAAAGTACAAAGCTAGCATATGATGAATAATGGATATTAGCAGTCAATTTTAGTATTTTGCCTCCAATCTAATTTGGAAAAGGAATCTGTGTGGAAGTTCATTTATTTATTTAAATCATGGTAGAGCAGACAGCTCATATCCAACCATGTAACAGTTACAGGCCATAAAATTGGACCCAGAGCCAGATATCCATAATCGTATATTATTATTCTCCAGTTAGCATATCACCAACCTTCACCTATTTGGGCTGCTGCCCCTCTCTCCTAGTCAAGCAAATTTTCTGCCCAAGTTGTGCTCACAGGTAATAACATCACTATTTTAGCCATATGCAGCAGAACCTGAAATAAGTGTCATAACATCCATCTATTTTGCCCCCAAAATGAACTCAAGGGTCATGTCAAACAAATTACTTGAAGACAGTATTAAAACAACTGAGAGTGTAAACAAAATATTTTCTTTTTTCCAGCTAAGTAAGTAAAAAGGTAGACGTCAGTGCAATAGTGCAACAAACATTTGAGAAGGCCAATTTTGAAGGTCATCAGAGCTGCCGTATCAATGAGAAGTGTGAAAACAAACGCTTATTGCAAAAGTAAAATACAACTTTCAGATAGCACATGCACCACCTCCACCTTTACTCCAAACAGCTAAATATCAAAGCCTAACATTCCATCATAAACTCATAGCACTGCACAAGTAATTGATTAAGGCAACAATAAAATAGAGCTAAAATTTAATGATCCTTTTTTATATATCTACACCAAAATATAAAAATTCCTTTTTTATATATATAATTTTCCTCTTTGTTTTGGCAGTTACATTTCCATTCTCTTTCCTCTCCTTCTTGAACCTACTCTGTAACCATTGTATAATGAATATATTAAACAAGCCTTTAACTCAAACTCAAATCATCAAATTTTCCTAATCTAAAATCTGAAAACCGGAAATCAAAATTTTCTTTAGCGACAACATTTTGAGCATACAATTAAGAAAACAATCAGAAAGACAATGGAAGAAAGCGCAATTGCCACACCAAGAACGAACTTGTTTGGGCCATGATGATGCTCTTTCTTGTGCTTGTTTCCATCTTCATCACTGTCATCGTAATCCGAGTCACTGCTATCATCTGCAGAAGAATCCTTTGTAGGTGGAGACACTGGCATCCCATACTTATCGCAAGGAGAAATCCCAAGCTTCAATTTTGAAGACACAACCGAATGGTTATAGCACAGGTTGCTGTTCCCACCAACCTTAAACACTGCCAATCTCTTTATGAAAGTCAAGTTGAAAGGCACAACCCCACGAAGGTTGTTGTTAGCTAGATTCAAGTACTTGAGGCTCTTCATTTGGGAAATGAACTTTGGAATACTCCCATTGAGCTGGTTTGAGCTCAGATCCATGTGAACCAAACCTGATAGAGCAGATATTGAATCTGGAATAGACCCAGAAAAGGAGTTTGAAGCCAAAGACAAGTTTTTTAGCGAGACCAAGTCCCCAAAGGAAGCAGGTATTTCACCACCGAGCGCATTAGATGAAAGATTCAAAATTTCAAGGCCATCAAGCCTTGTAATGGAAGTGGGTATGGTTCCTTTGAGGTGATTACCAGAAAAATCGATGTGGGTAAGGTTGGAATGAATGTGTCCGGGGAGAGCACCAGTGAGATTTGCATGGGAAATGGTCAAAGACTTGAGCTTGTTCATGTGTCCAAGTATAACATAAGGACCAGAAGCTGTGACTTGAACATTGGAGACAGTGAGATCAGTGAGGTTCTCAAGCTGAGAGAGCCAAACCCCAGTGACCTTGTGGAGGCTGTTGATGCAAGTGAAGGATCGGAGAGAGGCTATGAGTTCAGGAGGGAAGCGAATGGGAGCAACAGGACAGTTAAGAAGCTGAAGGGACTGAAGGGTTGAGAGTGATTTGAGTGCAGTGAATGAGAGAGCAACGTAGGTTGAACAGTTTGAGAGGCTTAGAGAGATGAGGTGGCGAAAGGGTTTGAAAGAGTCACAGAGTGTGGCATTGTGATAGGAAGGTTGAGAACATGGGTCCTTGGAAGTGGGGATATCCAAGGATTGCAGGGCTATGACCTGCTTTGGGTCAAGTGTAGAAGTAGAAGTAGAAGTAGAAGAAGGAGAAGAAGAAGGAGATGGAGAAGAGGTTGGGGAAGGGGTTGGAGGGAGTGATGTGATATTGGTGGGGAAGAGGAAGAAGAAGAAGAGGAAGTGGAGGGTGAGAAGAAGTGAAAATGGTGGTTTCATGGCTCAGTGGTCAGAAACACATGTGCTGATATGATATTCACAGCAAAGAGAGAGAGAGAGAGAGAGAAGAGAGAGAGAGAGAAGAGAGAGAGAAGAAAAAAAACAGATTGGGAGAGAGTGCGAGATACAACGTTGGGTGTTGGAACTGTAAGATGGTTAAGGCAGAGAGAAAGAAAGAGGAGAACAAGATTAAGATTCAGATACCAAAGAATACAATGCTGCTGGCAGTAGCATATACTACACTGTATGGTTATGAAAAAAAAAAAATATTATATCATTTGATTATAATTATTTATTTAAAAATTATATATTTTTCTTTCTTTTATTTTAGGAAAATGTTTTTGTTAGGTAACGTAACATAAAAATAAACTTTTTACTCTCACAAAAGGGAGAGAGAGTAGGAAAAAGAGAAAAAATTTAAAGTGGGTCCCATATAAAATTTGTGTGTGTAAGAAGATGATATTATGTTATGTAACATAATAAAAATAAATTCTTTATTTTATTATTAATAAACAGTTATGATCAATTAATACGACTAGATGATATTTTTTCATTGAAAACATCCAAATCCATTCTAAATAGAAAGATAGGATCATAATTCATAGGTGTGGCCTCTACTGTGACAGTTCACGTGGGGATTGCGTTTGTTCCTTTTGATTTGGATATATATTTACAGAATTGCACCTGTCATTTCAATATTTTAAAGAACAACGGTCAATATTAGAAGTATAAAGTATAAACACTCTTTTCGATTTATAAAATAACTTGAATGAAATAAAATATTTTTAAAAATTGCTAAATGGTACATGGCTGACCACATTCATGGATAGATTTTATTCTCTCTCTTTGAAGGCAATTAGTTAATTTTCTTGTCTTGATATTTGAGAAAAATATATGAAATGGAGTGCATCTTACTCGTGGCACGTAGTGTGTGTTAAAATATATAAAATTATTAATGTAATCTCACTTAACAGCTTAAGTTTTTGGGTTGAATTGATTCTTTACATGGTATCAGAGTCTCGTGTCCCGGATTCGATCATCGCCGCCCCCAATTTCTTTGTTTGCACAGGTAGTTGGGCTCACCTTTCAAACTCAGTGGGCTGTCGTGTGAGGGGATGTGTTGAGATATATAAAATCATTAATGTAACCTCACCCAACAACTTAAACTTTTTGGTTGAATTGATTCTTTACACATAGTTTCAATAAAAAATAAAAATAAAGTAATGGAGTTATAGCAAGACAGAAGAAACAGTTCTTCAACTCATAACCTAATTTTGATAATTAGTTGAGGTCTTTATTATGTTCTTTAAAAAATAATTGTGAGTAGTAGTTTTTCATTTAGAGTTCAATCATTGAAACGAGAAGGAAACAATATATAATATATGAGTTTAATGTTTTTATTTTTTCTTGTAGAAATTTCTTTTCTGTTATACTCGTGTGAAAGTAAATGGGTCTCACTAATTTTTTATTTATCTTCTCTTTACAATGAAATTCACTCACTTTTATGTGAGTATAGTAGAGAAAATTTTTCTGTAATAAAAATAAATATATTTTTCATATATATATATATATATATATATATATATATATGGGGAAGGATCCATTTACAAATATTTTTTTATAAATTATACTAAGTATGACCGGTCATACACTCTTGATTGAAGTATGGCCGGTCATATTTAGTGTAGTTTGTAAATAAAAAGTTTGTAAATATAACTTTCCCTATATATATATATATATATATATATATATATATATAGGTAGGATCCTTTGACACCGGTGTCAAATTTGAAATTTGACACTTAATATATATATTCATTTTAAGTGATGATACAAAATTTGATTTTTTATTTTTGCAAATTACTAAAATCTCTCACTGTCAATGACCTAATAATGTTTAATTGTTTTAATTATTAATGTTGGTGTTCAGCTGCATTGGAGGAGTCGTGGGATCCAGGTCTTCCTCCATGGGGTTCCTCTATACTCTTTTTAGTTCTTTCTGCTCAACTTTTGGTGCCTATCTTTAAACTATTAGCTTTCACCTTTTTATCATTTTTTGGAGATTGATAACTTGACTTGGTTATCATGTCAACAACAAAGGGTTTCACTTTCACTCAGACAGCAAAAGGAAAAACCAAACAAACGGAGATTTATTAAAAAGAACAACAAGAAGAAGCAATTAGTTGTTAATATTAACCTTTTAAGAAACCCCTCCAAACTACGTCATTACATTATGACATCCTTGTGATTGATGACTTGCTGCCTCTTGTCCACAATTGACTATAAGCTATAGCATGCATTAGCAAAATTTATATCATAAATCCAAAAGTAGGGATTAGAGCATTCACTTTTATGGTAATTTTATTTCATTTCCCACTATTGTTAATGAGATGGTGTCCCATGTTCATTTTAAGAATCCATGTAAAGATCGTTGCGTATTGGGTTCATACAATTTCTTGGCTGAGTAATCTAGTTTTCTTCATGAATTGTGATTATGTGACATGACTAGATAAATTTGACTCAAACAGGAAATAGATTGCAATTAGGGTGAGTGCAATGTCAATTAGATAAAGGCTTATAGACTACTTTAATTATTATTGTGTTTATTGAAGGTGGGAATTGAATTTATGATAGGGAAATCAATTATTTCTTGTCATATATATGACCAAAAATTCACACACGGACCAAACAAAAAGTATTGAGAAATGATACATGCATAGGTAAATATTTTTTCAAAAGTTTTTCATAAAATAACGAAGTGGTTTATAATTTGCCACAATTGGATCAATTACCAAATTCAAAAATATTTATATCTAATTGATAAGCTTTTGAACGGTTAGTGAGGCAAGAGAGCCATGTATGTATTCTCAAAGGGAGTTATGGTCAATATGGATGTGTCTTTAACAACAATAATATGAACCTACACGGTAAGTTAAGAACGATTCTAACATTATTATTAAAATATCAAACTGAATTTGATGTTTTAAGTTTATATTTTAATTAACGGATTATATTTTTGTTTCAGAAAATTTTCTGCCACTGAAACATAAAATAATGGGAGAGAAAGCGTGGAGGAATGAGAGATAAAACAATAATGGGGTCATTCCTTTTTATATCTCAGTGGCAGAAAAAAAAAACTTTCTGCTAGTGAAACAGAAATGATAATCCATTTAATTAATATCAACCTTGTTCTTTAAAATTAAGATATGACAATGATTTTAAAGGTTCTGCAACCAACAAAAAGAGATACTGAAATGGAGCGATATCCAATTCAGTGCCCAACAATCCAGAACAAACAAAAAGGAAAGAGAGAAGCAAATAACAGATGTAAACCCACTATATAGACATGGGTGGGCCAAAGCATAGCCCAATTCAAAAGTAGTCAATCAAATCCTAAGACCATAAATATGAGAGGCAGAGGCCACGTTGGAATAAATTTTTGGTACTACTGCTGTACTTAGATTTAGTGCATTCTATGAATGAGAGTCTTACATATCAGATGAGAGAGAGAAAATTTGACAGAAAAAAAAGTATTTTAACTGACATGTAATATTTTCATTGGTGAGATGTATTGAATCTTTGGTACAACAGTAACAGTAGTACCAAAAATTTATTCCCATCTTTGATCAGCAATGATGCAAATATTGAGGCGATGAGTTATTGATGAAATTCAACCATCACAAGTACAACTACTAGTTAAATTAAATTTATGTAAAGATATATAAAAAATATATAAATATATAAACATAAGTAATTTGATATAAGAAATGCAATTGTGATGGATTATTAATGATCCGGTTCGATGTAGATGAGGATAAGGGTATCTTACGAGGAATATTTAATAGGGAAAGGATCCGATTACAAATTTTTTGTATAAATTTTTACAAATTACACTATTTTTTTCCGGAAAAAAATAGTGTAGCTAGTGTTTTTTCGGGAAAAGATAATATAATTTGTAAGAGTCTGTAAACAAAAAAGTTTGTAAATATAACATATTTCTATCTAATAACCTCATTGTGTATTTTCAACGTAAGCAAAAGCAAATACATAACGACGTTATTAGATATGTGTTATCATCAAAGGAAAATAGTGTTTCTACTTTCTATTAAACAGGATGCAATTGTTGATGTTTGTAGAGTGAATTGGATTTTTCTCCCCTGCGCAATGCAGGTACGGTCTCTGCACTATGTTTGGATCCTACAAACGTGGTTTTTTTTTTTTTTTTTCATGTGTGCGCGTGAAGTTAGGAATAATGACAAAAATGCCATCTTTTTTTTTAAAAAAAAATTTCAAATGTGGCACGAATAATATATTTTTCCAAAAGGAAAGTTATACTTAATTTTTTTTTACAACCTCTTACAATCATATTTTAACAATATTAATTTTCGTCAATCAACGGTTATCATTTATTATGAATTAATAATTAATTAATGAGTTTAATTTGCAAAAATCATAACCGTTGATTGGCGGAAATTAACGATGTTAAAATATGATTGTAAGAGATTGTAAAAAAAAATTGGTTGTAAGTATAACCTTTCTCTTTTTTCAAAATGTCATGCAACAAATTTACTATAACAAGTAGCGAGTTTGGTTTAGCCACGTGACACTTTTTTGAGGCCACCTAACTCGTTGTCAGGTATAACAATTTTGGTGGTCAAATCAGTCAGTCTACAATACTGAAACAGGATACGTGGCATGTTTAGGCAAACTACAAGCCCAACGAGTTTAGTTTGACATGTGGCCAAAATCGTTGCATAAAATTTTGATAATTTTACTGTAAAACTTCGGAAGACCGTAACTTTGGTTTCGAGTGCTCGAATGAGGTGATTTTCTTATTCCACATAACCTTTCAAGACGAACACGTTGTTTGGTATATTTTATTTCTATGAATAATGTTATTTAATTTTTACTCTTGTTTTCACTTTCCAACACTAAAAATAATTCTTTTAATGCGTAGATCTCAAAAAGTTAAGTGGAATAAAAAAAATACCTAATTCGTA